TGAAAGTGAATGTCACGAAAAGCCAAATAAAGAGTTATTAACGAAAGAGTTTTCAATGGTAATACAATCCCTGATTCAGGAATTTTCTGCATGATTTACGCAGTTTAAAGAATTTGAAGAAACTTTAAAATTTATTTTATATCCTGATACAATACCATTTGAAAAATTAAATTTAAAAGTCCTTGAGTGGTTAAATTTTAATGAATTAGAAATGGAATTAGTTGAATTTCAGTCAAGTACCATATGGAACCAAAAATTTGTTGATTTAAGAAATGATTTAGAAATTATTCAAAGTAATCGATTATTGGATAAAATAAATAAAATTGCAGAAGATGAAATTCTAACTACATGGAATTCAATTCCTGACACGTTTAATTGTTTAAAAATATTAGCAAAGACAATTAAATCTCTATTTTCAGAATTAAATTTTATAAAAAATAAATATAGGAATTGAATAACGGATGAGTCGAACTCTGCATGCGTACTGTTAAAATTAACTAAATATGAACCAAATATTAAATCTTTATCATCTTGTGTACAGCAACAAAAATCACATTAAAAACAATTGTTTTTAGCGTGAATTTTGTTTCTAGCATATTGCTTTTTGTAAAAAATTGTTTAAAGAAGAATTGCTTTTATTTGTTTATTTAATTATATTTACGTATAGTTTCACCACGCTAAAATTTCGAATGAAATTTTATTGTGGCACGTTACCTATTTAAAAAAGAATTTTTATGACTTTGTGGCACGGACATCAAAAAAGGTTCACCATCCCTGTTATAGAAGTTTTAACAGAAATAAGTGCGGAGCATGAAGGGTGTAAACCAGATGCAATAACGAATTGCATGGTGGGTTCAGCAACGTAGTTAAGGGTAATTTTTTTTTAAGAAAGCTAGGCTTATTGTAACATAAGCACTTTGAATCACACTAATCTAACAAATGTGAAACATTACATGAGAAAAGATACAAAATAAATACGACAAGATTTTGCTAATTTTATCGGTTGATTGAATGTAGCGTTGCGTTGTCGCATTTCTTTATCAGGACCGGAATTGCATTTGCATGCACTACCTTTTTCTTATATTTACTTCATTTTCTTGTTTTATAATGCCGTATCACATCATTCAACCTCCGTACTTATTTCTGATATATTTAAATGTATAATTTACATACAGTAATAATAAATAACTGAACGACTCTGAAACAAAAAGGCAGGACCATGATAACACTCACTTCAGTCGTAAATAAAATAAAATTATTAATATTTGATTTAATATCTTAAAAGTATATATTACTTAACAGTATAATGGTACAGATTTTGGAATAAAAAAGAATAAAGTCTTTTTTATAATTTATCCCAGGGAATTGCCTTTTTCATATATTGAAAAATTTTCAATTGAGTTAGCCTCTGTATGAGAAATAGCTTTTCTAATAATACGTTTCATCTAAAAGCTAAAAGCTTCATCTATCTGACGCAGGAAGAAGCTAATAAATGTAGGCTAGTGTGCATGATAGGTGAATCTATCACACGATGTATATTTTATTCACGATTTAATATTTGTAACTGAAAACTTCGCTACGATAGGTGATATGAAAGGTACTTATATTGTAGCAAAAATATCTTCCATAAAAAAATTTCTTTCAATTTTATTTCAAAAATAAAATCATTTGGCTACAGCGTCAGTTTAGAATAGATACGTTTTTATTAGAATTGCGATCTTTTGTCATACTTTCTGTATACCGTTATTACCTGTTAGCTTTTTTTAATGTAAGTGTTTATACTATAAATATGAAACACTTTGACATTTAATAGGGGTTAATATCAAATATTAATGTGAAAATTCATTTTAATTTTCTCCCACTCTAACCTACCTCAAGTTAATTTTTTGTTGCTGTTGTCAGAGCATTGATGCGTAAAGCCAAAGGTCCCAGGTTCGATTCCCGGCAAGGGTGTAACAACTACAACAAAAAATTTTCCCTCATTACCTTGAGGTAGTTTATAGTGGGAGAAAATTAAAATGAATTTTCATATTAATATTTGTAAGTATTTAGTTTCAAATTGACTGACCATCAAAACGGTAAAAATGTGCATGTCTAAAGAAGTAAGGAGTTATGATTATATTTTATTTTTTTTCTAAATGAAAATCGCAGGTATTTATGTTTCTTCAGTTTTTTTTATTAGAAATATTTATTAATTAATTAATCTATTAAACTGTCTCTATGTTATAACGGTAATCTTTCACACCACTGGTAGTAGATATGAAACAGGCTGAATTTCTGGTTAGTTCGTGTCCTTTGCTTATTAGGAGTCGTCCATATGGGGGGTGGGGAGTCATCGAATTGTGAGCATGTCGGACAATGGGGTGAAGGGGGTTATAACTTTTGTGACATCTTCAAATAACTATGTATTAAAAAAATTGTAACGGCAAATAAAACTATAAAGTTTTGAGTAGTGAACCTCATTTTTGAAATTGTATTAAATTAAATATTTTTAAAAGTAATTAATCTACATATTCAACATTATAAATACAATCTAAAAGTTTTATTAACGGTGTTTTGTAAATGAAACATTATTTAAAAACTAATTTAATGTTTCGACACAAATTTTTCTTCACTCGATGGATCTTTTTGACTGGACGGTCATTATCATTTAAAACTAGTAAATATAATGTTTATTAACAATGTTTACATTATATAATAAATACATTAGCTGATGTTTAACTACCTATATCAAAAACTTTTTGGGTGTTCGCCGAAATGCGTTTTTCAGTAAATAAACGAAAGGAACGGTTTCACCAGAGTTTTTTTTAACAAAATATGTTTTTATGCATCGAATTTAACTTTCAGAACATCAAGATAGCATAAATAAACTTCACAAATTGCTTTGAGCAGCATTTCCCTTAGATATACCATTTTTTATTCACAAATCGAGACAGCATTTACGCTTAGTTACATCCTTTTCAAACTGCCTCTTGACCAATCCTTGGAATAATGTTCCGGATATGTGCCGTGATGGGGTTCATATTCGTACTCGTAATATTCCTCGTGATGATGAGGGTAGGTGTGACGGGGAGCTTTTTCTTTTATTTGATGTAAATAATATGGAAATAGTAGAGCTGACAGAAATATCGCCTTTTTAATGAATATCAGCGTCAGTAGAACCGCTGCTAAGAGAAATTTTATCTTGAATATTTTCAATAGGGTAAGCATTGGAATAATGGCAACCTTGTTGTTTTTCCTTCTTCTACCCTCGTCTGAAATAAATGAACAGAATACGAGTTAAAATAGAATTTATGGGTCTTTTTTAAATTCGTTATTCAAATTTTCACTTTTTTGGATTTCTCCCCCCCCTTTCGCACGTTAAGTCACAGTTTCAGCGACCCCCTAACAAATATTACGTCACAAAAGCTAATTCAACCCCCACCCCCCTATAACGATTTCTAGTGTTTAAAATGGCAATAAGAAATACTTTCTTTCGTAATGAAAGATTTAAAGAACTGCCAAGTTAAAAAATTTATTAAAATAATAAAACGGATTAACCGCAAACGTCACAGTTCCTTAGCCCCCCACCCTCTTGTCCTATCTCGGGATGCCAAGCAATAATTCTCCCTACGCCTTACTTGCGAATGTATTTTATGAACGACCCCTTAGTGAATTATAAAACGAAGAGCTGTTTAGCCACCTTGAAACGTTTCAAAAAAAAATTTCGTTGCGAAACCTATAAATTGTTACAGGGCTGATTTGAATTTCAATAAGCCGAAATAAACTTGACGATTATACAAAAAAAAAATAATTACTAGGACACTTATTTAAATAGTAGTACATATGTTTGAAATTCTACAAGTTGATGATTTTTTTGGGATAAATGTACGCAGTTACTTTCCTTTTCTTTTTTTTAATATTCTTCAAAGGCAGTAATTTTAAGAATAGTATCACTTCAACTTTCGGTTTCGGTTTATGATTAGCGTGAAAGTAGCTTATACTTATAAGCGCTTCACTTTTTAAACAATAAGTAGATATTTTCAAATAAGGTTTCTACACAAACGTTTGAACTCTCTGCACAACATATTTTATTCCCAATATAAATGTTTCCATTGTAAAATAGGATAAAACGAATCTACCTTCGGTATACGTAAGTGATGGTTGGAAAAAGTCAAAGAAATGAAATTGGTATTTGTCAAAAACGGAAAACAAAAATAGCTGACGACATCTGCGTTGTATCGATCTTTAGAAAATATGATTGGTTGGTATTTTCAAATTTCGAACGGCAAAATCATTTATATTCAATTATTAAACAGCATACGCCTAACGTGTTAATAACAAAAAAAAGACTATCTATTACGTAAGAAACTAAATTGAGAGAAAACAATTTTCTTAATTTTTCTATGCCACAATCAATATTTCTAACCTCGACAAAATTCCTTAGTGAAAGATTAAGTAAGAATCTCTAGACATTACTNATATATTAAAGATAGTTCGATAGATACCATTTAAATGATCGATCAATAACATTCCTACACTTAACATCAATTCAATATAAAACCACTGTTAATAAATAAAAAAACGGAAATTATTAGTTGAAAGTGTTCTTAAGAAAAATGAAACTTAAAAATGTGTCAGATTCAACTAAAATATTTTAATTAGTAAGTACTTACGTATTTTTGAAATCACTGCGAAAATCTACGCTTAGAATATCAATTAGTTACTTTATGATGAATCCTTAATCACTAATTAACTACCAGCATGAGTTAAATTTTAGGTTAAATCCTAAACAACATTTTTATTTTGTAGTTTCTTGTTGTAAATGTTGTGTACTTTGCAATGTTTTATAATTCGAACTTAGAAGTCTCTCTTTAAGAATATTAATCCGTCATTTTGTAATTTTCTCTTATAGTTTCTTTTCATTCTTTTTTGATTATTTTTCTGTGTTTCTATTTGTTTTCGCAGTTGGTTATTTAAAAAAATCTTTCTATATTTTATTACTACATACCAAAATATTTCACTTAAAAATAGCCATGAATTTTTGACTGTAACTCCTACGTAATAAGATTTTGCTGTGCCGCCTTATCTAACACTCGCCACAAATATACTTTGTGAAGTATGAATGATAATGATATTTTAATAGCTTCATCTTAAAATAAAATCTTACCTAAGACTTTTATGCTATCAGAAATTATTTCTGATCCGGTAGGAAGTTTCACTTTAAGAGCATGATTGGCTAAATATTTATTTTCCAAGCGCTGTACGTACTTCCAAAATTTCGTAATCTGGTCGTCGTTCGGAAAATATCTGGCACTCTCTTCGTCATTTTCGTCAACTTTACTCTTAACTTTTATAACTTCAATATATCCCGAAATATTTAAGGGCAGATACTCTTCTTCAAGAACCACTTTGGTCAAATACTTGATGATCCGATATTTAAAACAGTCCAGGAGGCTTTTTGAACTTTCGCAACTAATCATCGTTTCGATAAGATATTCATCTGAATACGCGAAGGGAATACAAACCAGAAAGAAGATTAGATACATCCTTCAGATGCTTACTTGTGAAACAACTAACTAGAATTATTGTGAAGGGCGAGAATTAGTTGCATTTATATATGCATGTAAGGTTTAGAGAATTAAGGTTGCGGATGGACAAGGAGGATTTGTACGACCGTGATGTAAAATACAACAACTTACTACAGACAGTGATATTGAGATATTGAATTCCATAATATAATTTGCTTGGGATAAATAGGTTATATTTATGCACAGTAACCACAATGGACTTGTTTGAACGTTTCAACAATTATTGGAGTGTAAAATATCATCGTATCTTTAACAAATTGGTGTTAAGATCAATAACTTTTGTATAGTCCATTGCTCACATTCCATACCTTTTCTTCTATAGACAATTTCCGTTTCCATTTCCTATCTTTCTTGTAAAAACCTGCGGCAGGCCTTTGCTTTAACTTCAACTTCAATGTACAGCAAAGTACAAACGGAGAAGATGCGGCCTGAATTTCCTTGAAATCAGATTTGAAATCTGTGGTTTTAGTTCCCAGATCCACGTTAACCTGTGAATTGTAACTCGTGAATAAACAGGGGTTTGGCACTGACTTGTAGGATTTAAGTTTTCACTTTAACTTTAACCCAAAACTACTTAAAAATGTACTGGAATTTCTTCGAGACTCTAAATTTAACAGTAGAAGTTAAATGTTTAAATCATGTAATACCATGTACTATTGTGTAGTCGCTCAAAACCTAGAAGTTAATGCGACTTAAAGTTTTATATATAAAAAAAGGTAATAATAAACGAATTTAGGCAAATATAGAAAATATTGAATGTGACTTTTTTGTCCCGCTCAAAATAGAATCCTGGCTTCGTCCTTCTCGTTTTACCCTGAACAGATACATTGTTCGATTAATACTTCAAAATAACCAAATCTTCGTGTATCTATAAGGAGGAATATGTCAAGGGGGGTCTAAGGAAATGTTGGTGAATTTTATTTTTTTTTTTTTTAATTTGGCAATTCTTATTTTTTTTTCATTACGGCAAAAATTCATTCTCGTAAGAAATCATTTATCTTGGGGTAGGCTAGTTTTTGTAACGTAATATTTGTTAAGGGGGTCGCCGAAAGTGAGAATTAGCGTAACAAAAGGGGAGAGAGGGGTCCAATAATGTAAAATTGTGAGTGACGTATTTTATGGACTGCCCCCAAGTTAAATTTGCTTAGTAATTAAAGGATGTTGAATATATTCAGTAAAAGCGATCTGTTAATTGTAATAATAATAATTTTTGTATTTTTGGAGTGCCCAATTTTATGTTAAACTAGGCTTAAACTGCGGCTTAACTCTCATTAATATCCTAAATACTTGTCAATGATTATATCGATGATTACAAAACTAATTTTTTCTATTCTTCGGGAACAGTATTTTTTTCTGGATGAAAGGTAAAGTAGTTAAGGCCTCAAAGCGCATTTATTATATTAGGACTGGATAAGTCAACCTTTACTAATTTTCTATAAAAATTTAATTTCAAAACGTTGTTCGAGAGGGGGATGGTTCACAGATAAAACCATTGTAGATTATGATGTTGGAGGTGGTCAAAAGTATCTGAAATAGAGCTCTTCAGTTTATGGATAGCATATTTGTCTTATTCCAAGTTGCATTCATATTTCCTAAACACTCTCTCTACGGCTTTTTATGCATATAAGTACGTAAAAATAGAACAGTTTTGAATTAAACTCTAAATCGTATTATTAACACCCAATACATCATTCAGTACACACACGACACACATTATGGAACGTAATGTACCTACGGCACTTTTGTGTAAATATGTTTTTCTAAAGACATTTTTCCATCATTTATCAGCTGACTTTTTTGTTTATTTTATTTGAGAAAAATTGCCTTTACGTAAATAGCATTCAGTGAAGTTATGGGTAATCTAGTTTTCCTTTTTTTTTAATGTCATAGATGCATGCTTAGGAAATATGTGGTGGATATTAAAAAATTACAGCATCGGCAGTTTTATAAACATACTTTTTGCCATGATTTATTTGTGTAATAAATACGTGCGAAATTACTTCATTAATAAATCTTGTGCTTCTGATGCAACAATAATAAATACCAAATATAAAGTATTAGGTGCTCTAGTAGAAATACAAACAAGTTTAACGCGTTTACAGAAATGTTTAAATTATTTTTAACTTTAAAGAAATAATTTTAAGCTTAATTTGTTAATGTTTTGAAATCAAGAAATTATCTTTACTGAATTTTAAAAGCATTATATCCAGACTAATTTTATTGCTATTTGAATAGTCGTTATAATAATAAGAGTAAATAAATAAAGTGATGTATGATTAATTTGTGGCTTAATGTATAACTTGTAGTAGTACCTAATGTTAAACTAAAAAATTAGTAATTAAAGGAAATCGTTATTTATAAACATACACTTTATTTTAAAGAAATTGACCTGTATTTGAAATTAGTTATTTAGTATAATTGGAATCATAATAAATTATAATATGTTTGGTACCTTGAATATATGTTATTCTCATTATTTAGGAAGCTAAGATTAATTTACGTCATTTTTTATGTGAAAATGGTTATCTGTTCTGAAGTATATCTCTATAAGAAATTTTGAATATGTCCTTGATTTTCTTCTACAATTATTAGTTAGAACACCCTGTATATTAAAAGCGACGCACGTGTCACCTAGCGGGAAATGATTATACTTTAAGCGACATCGTGTACGAACCTTTCTACAATCCACGTTACCGACAGAAATTATTGATAAACAGTTTTCTTACGTCAACGCTGACGACAATGACATTTGCTAATATTTAGGTTAAGAATGTATTTTTAGTACTTTTATAACAATTTATTTTAAAAATAGGGCAATTAATACAATGAATAACCATCACAGTGGTGAAACTGAGCAAATGGCTCCCCCACAATGTTTGAAAGTGTTTATTCAAAGAGATTACAGTGAAGGTACAGTTGTAAAATTTCAAACCAGATTTCCTCAAGAATTGGAGGGCAGGGTAAGGGCTTGACCTGAGTAAAAACAATATTATTTTATTATTAAGAACATTGCTCTTAACAGATAGAACGACCACTGTTTGAACACACAATTGATCGTTTGAATGAGTACTTCCAAGAAGCAGAAAAAGCAACCTGTTCTACTTACTGTGAAGGGTGTCTAGCATGTCTTACTGCCTATTTAATTTATATTTGTAAAGAGACTCATTATGAAAAGGTACTCTTCTACATTATTTAATATTAGTAAATTCCAAAACACTAAAGAGAAGACTGAAGTAAGACAATACCGATTCAATTGTAGTTAAAATAAAACTTAATTTAATTACAGGTGCTGAGAAAAATATCAAAATTCATCGCAGAACAAAATGAAAGAGTTTATCAACCACGAGGTTTAATATTGACTGATCCAAGTATGAGAGGGTTAAGAGTAATAGAAATAAGTTGTCTAGACAGACCTCCAAATGCATGACTGACATTGTCACACTCCACACCGGAGTTCTTCATGTAATGACTGTGCAATTGTATTTTTAGAAAATTTTGTACAAAGTTTTATTTTTCCATCCATTTAGTTCAAGTATTAACTTTTATATTTACTCACAGAAAATGCATTTAGTGTTTTTCATCAATTGTAAATAATTGCGAAAAATAAATTTAATTTTTAGCTTTTGTTATTCTGTAATTTCATTCTGTTTTACTTTATTATTTGGAGCATTGAAATATGAGCTACTTATGTGCAGTTTGTTTATAAATAACTAACTAAGTAATGACTAAAAGGCTAAAGTTTTCACAACTGATATCTAAAAAACTTTTTGTTGCAATGGTGCAAGATTAGTTCTCCTGCAGTCAATTCACTAATGGGGTCTATTGACCGTTTTACTATGTATGACACCCTACATATTGCCTATTAGGGTAAAAAGTATTCATTGCACAACTACAGCTGGCGAAATATCTGATAAACTATTCCATCAGTAGAGTTATTGAAGAAAGAGAAAACCTATTCTGAACCTTAGCCATCAGTTACCAATGTTGAGCCGTCTTCTAAGTAATATTTCTCCCAAATTTCGTTATTTTATTAGACTGTTCAAGGAATAAAAAATTACTATATACGAATTTATTAAAGCAACTTTTAGTTATAAATTTCTACACACATAACTTTTGTCATCAATTAAACATAATATTCTTTCTGCAAGGCTAAACATAAACTAATGTAAACAACTCGGTATTTTCTTTTTTTGAACTAAATATATAACGAAATTTAAATTTACCTTTATCTTTCATTATCCGCTCCCAGCTAGTACCTCAATATTTTCATTCTCTATTTACTTGTCTTTTTCTGTTCCTTCTCTAACCCCCTATTCTTTTCCTGATTATATCTTTTCAGTTCATTTCCACTTTCATTCATAATACTCTCACATTCGTCTAGCTTTTATCACAACCTCCCAGTACATTCATCCTTTTACATATCCTGCACTTCCTTTCCTCCTCTTTCAAGCAATACTACTCATCCCTCACTTAATTTTTGCAACTTCAACTCGTACTTTACTACTCTTTTTCTAGTTTTTCCACATTATATTATCTCCTAATCACATAATCTGATGTGTTTCTATCTAAATTTAATACCCATTCTATCTACTTTTGGTAAATGTCTTCCACTTGTTTTTGCTTTTTCAACCTCCATACTTCCACTCCATAAAATATTTTCCTTTATACTGTCGTATTAAACAACTTTTTCTTCCTGATATTCCCTTTTCTAGCCTCCTCAATCTCTCCCCTTAATTTACTACCGTTTTTATCGCTACTTTCCACATTTAGACTCCCTTTTTAATTCATAATCTGACGTACTTCTCTCTTCTAATTGTAAAACCAATTTAAATATTTTCTATATAAAGCCTCTATCTGATTGTTTCTTACCATATTTCCCTCTCATAAAACACTGTACTGTTCACTATCGCATTGAATATGTTATTCAACCATCCACCCCATTATCCTTAAATAATTTCTGACTCCCAAACCTTTCCCATAATTGCCTTCCATTATCCATTGGGGTTGGTAATATATATCTCATATCGTTTATTAACACCTAGCATATATCTTAGATATGAATAATTCCTGACTTTTCTATTTCTGTCCCTTCCATTTTGTTTGTTTTTCCCTTCCCTTTTTACTCACTTTTCCTCAACATCCATAATCTTTGATTTTTCAGTATTTGGGCTCTTCTTTAATAAATACTCTTCTAGCTTTCTTACCATTTCCTTCAAACCTACACACTTATCCCCCACTAACACTATATCCTTTCCACTTCCCTTATGTTATTCATTTCATCTTCCAAGTCATTCAAATTATTAAACTCTTTTCTACCTCCACTTACTGTCATATTCATCATTTCCCCTTTTAAACCTTATCATAATCAATTTTTTAAATCTACAAACATTAAATATACTCTTATCTTTTTCTCCAATTTTATCTGTATTAATTAAAAAAAATCGGGTTTATGACCCCCGTTCCCTCCCTGAACTTAAATTGCACTGTTCTGTAACCCTCTCTTCACTATCATCCAATAGTTTTATAAAATGTTTAATCGATTCCATCCCTTCTATCTTACCATTACTTGTGCTTCATGACTTTTTCTATACCTATTTCTTATTTTTCAACACCCCTGCGTACCTCGTCGCCTTTGAAGCATTTATTATCTTATAGCTGTATTCTTCCCTTTCTTCTTGTAATCTGCCCTCTATACACATTCTTTATTTTTCATACTCTTAATTTTTATGTCTTTTTGTCTTTTTATATCTTTAACATTATCACTCATTTTATCTCCTACCTTTAACCCCAAGATTCACTTAGCAGGACCTTTTAACCAATACATAGCCCGTCGCTGATCTGGGTGTTCCAGAAAAAATTACTTAAACTGTTCTATATATTTATTTTTTTTCACTATAAATAATTACTGTAGGCGAATTACCTACAGGTATTAACTTACTTTTCTATTTTCGCTTTTTGTCGTTTTGTTTACGTGTTAGTAGGATTTGAAAATGAGGCTCTTCTTTGTTTTATAGTTTTAAATGAAACTCACATTTTAATTTTTTTTTTGTGTATTCTTTCGTCTTAATTTACTTCATCGGAATAGATTAAAGAAAAGCTTAAATATACATTTTTATTTCTACCAGTTTTATTATGTTGCGACTCATTTCAATCTACAAAGTTACTAAAGTAATCACTAACCATAAATTAAATTGAACCACTGTCTGATTGATACTCATCTTTAGTTAACAACTTTGATTTTTCGATGCCCATATGTCCCTTTTTTGTGGATAGATACTTTTCCTTTTATCAAGTCTTCAATATTCGGTCGTATCCCAGGACTTTCAATTCCTAAAACAACACAGTAATTAATGCACATTGTTTATTCGAAAGACTAACTCACTTTACCCTTGTAATTATTGTTGTATGCCTAGGTACTAAAATCTTTCACCAAAAGTTTAAGATAATCTAACTTTTGGAGAAATGTTTTGTCATTTGTACCTTTACTTACCTTTCCCGGTCTTCTTAAAATTTGCTAAAGGAAAACAAAAGTCGTAGAAAAATGCTGAATATAAAAGTAAAATCAATAAAAATGAGTAAATTCTTGAAGCCATTATATTTTCTTAACAACTGTATTGAAATAGATGCCGGGATTGTGATTCTATAAAACAATTAATATCATTGACCTGTTCATTGATCTTTTGATTATATGCTTTGCATTCTACAGACGTTCAAAAGTATACAGTGCGTCGTTTGTTGAAATGGCTAACAAAATAATTATAAAATAAAATACCACCTAAATTCATTTTAGCTTAAAACAGTGTTTAAAAGTTTATGTGATCTGTTTAGAGATTTTTTTTTTTTTTCTGACTTCATTATATAAAAATACTAATTCCAAAAGACCTTGTTAATTATTCTTATTCAAATCATTTGACAGGATTTAATCCTGCATTTAATTTACATCGGTAATTTAAATCGAATTAGGTTTCCCAAATAATTCTTTCTTATAAAGACATTATTTTTTTGGCGTAACAATCAGGCGAAGTTTAGCTCAGGATAGGAAAGAGTGGAGGTACGTGTCCAACCAGTCTTAGGACTGACGACCTTATGATGATGATGAACAATCAGTTGTTGCTTACAGGTACATGGTTGTTTGTTTTTCCAAATTATTTGCGAATTTAGAAAGTTGTTTAGTTATGTAGAAACTTCTAATATCCACAAACTCCTGAACAGAAGTTACTGAAGTTCATATTAACAAATAATTTAAATTCTGTTACTATTTATTATTTTAAATGTAAGCACTTCGTTGCTTATACACTTCGTAAAGTAAGTTACCTACTCACTTCGTATAATACCGATAACTATTACATAGAAAAACTGAAAGTTTGCATCATTAGTACACAATTATAATACTGATTTCCGTATATAAACTAATAGTGTGTAAATATTCAGTCTAAAATAGTTTACAAGCAGACAAATTGTGTAATACTGCAGGATCAATAATGTTAACACTCTATTACATAAGCCAATATAAACTTATTAAAATACACATAACTAGGTATTTAAACTTTTAGGCATTTAAAATTATCACAAAAGCTTTTCTTCAGTGCATTTCCTGTATTGATTTCCTACGGTTCCTGCATATGGCATCTGAAACTGAAGAAACAGTTCATATTACTCAGTCGTAAACGCAAACAAAATTTACGGTTTTATTGTATTAATTATTATACTTTAGATAAAGCAAATGCATAATTAATTGAAAGCTGTTCTTCTCAGGGCACTTAACGGAGTATATTATAAAATATTAAATTGAAAAAATTAAAATCACTGTTCCACAAAATTTATTTGAAGGTCGTCGACAGCTGTTTCAATTTTTACAGCATAATCTTAAAAATTATATAGAAGTGGAAACGACTGCCGATGACCTTCAAATAAATTATGTGAAACTTTACCAAGGAGATTTATTTTTTTTAACTTAAATGCATAAATTATAAAAATTTTTGGATACCACTTTTTTGTAAATAAAAATCTTTTTTGTATGGTAGCTACTAAATAATACCGGGCATACTAAAGTAGAGCATCAGTCATTTAAAACTTTTAAGGATTTAAACTTAATTGTTATTTTGATATATATTATTACGTATTTCACAAAATACTCATTAAATAAAATTAGAAACTTTTATTAAATATACATCAACTGCAAATTGCAAATAGATTTAAAATAGGTATCATTAATAATACAGAAACTATAAGTGCATTTTGCGTAGATTTAATACTTATTGTATGTAGATGTAAAAATAAAAAAAATACCATTATGCAGACACTCACCATTTTTGGTCATTTCCAAACTTCAGTAGGATTTCCTTCGTGATCTGTTGGAGGAGGAACTGTAACAACATTTCGTTTTCTTCTGCTTCTAGTAACACAGCCTTTTTGTATTTTTTCACTTCGTCCATTACCTGCGTCAACCACGTCTTTAGCTTCATTCTTTTCCATTCCCTTGCTTTCTTTGTTAGTTTCTTCTACGGTTCCTTCACTAAGAGTACTGACGGCAGACTTCCTAGCTTCTTCTACAGTCCCTTCACTAGCAATACTAACGGCAGTCTTCCTAGTTTTTTCTACAGTCCCTTCACTAGCAGTACTGACGGCAGACTTCCTTTTTCTCATTTTAAAAACCCATTGTATTATACGAACTCATTCCAATCAATAATAAACCTCGTGTGTTTCTACGGACCGTACATTTAATAAAATTCTATTCAGAACCGACTAAATTTAGAATTATTAGCTATTAGGTATGGTACACCAACGAACAAATTAACTGACTAGCACGTACAATGTTATCGTTCCTGGAATTAACACTATTTAGGTAATTAATGTAGGTGTTCTCAACTGTTTAACAGCGTATTTAAATGTTTAAAAGGAATATTTACATATCGTTATGTAAGTAACATATTGGTATAGTACTGACCAAATAAAATGAGCACACCTGAAACAATGAATCACCTGGACGGTAAAGGAAACAGTTTTTTTCGGACTTGTGCAAAATTAAACATTCTGTACTGCTTTATCATTATTCCAATAGTGAAAAGTACTGATTACTCGTTTAATCTAGTGAACTTACAAAATTCAAGCATCACTGATAGTGGCGTAGCTAGATAAACAAAGGTCCAGATGCAAAATATTTTTGAGGACCTAATTATGTTTGGTGGCGTTGTACAAGTGCGTAACATGGACAGTGGGTACGGCGGAAAAGAAAAGGTTAGAAGCATTCGAAAGTGGAGTTATAGGCAAATGATGAGGATACCGTGGATAGAAAAGGTTAGAAATGAAGATGTATTAGAAAGAATAAGAAAACAGAGGACTCTATGGAAGTCAATAAGAAGTAGGCGAGATAGGTTGGTAGGACACCTTCTCAGACGTGAAGGTCTAGTCAGAGACATATTAGAAACAGAAACAGGAGTTAGGAAGGGTGGAGGTAGACCTAGATTAGGTTACTGTTCGCAAATAGTTAATGATGTGGGTTGTTCTAGCTTTAGGGAAATGCGAAGTTTAGCCCAGGATAGGAAAGTGTGGAGGTACGTGTCCAATCAATCTTAGGTCTGACGACCTTATGGTGATGATGAATTAAACAAAATAATTACTCGATTGCATCCGTTATTTTTTCGATTATTGTGCGAAGAAACAAATAGCACCTATTATAACATATAGAGACAAAAATAAAATGGCATAAAATATACAAAAAATAAATCAATTGAACCATTATTTTTGCCGGGACGATGCCCCATAAACACTTTTGGCAAAGCGCACCGCACCACCTAGCCCTATGATAACTATCATAGGGGTAAACTACGCGCCTGATCACTGAATAGATTTTGATACGATATTTTTTAAAAAGCATCTTTTTTTTTACTAAGAACGTAAAACTCCAAAGCAACTCAAATTTTGCTGAAATTTTCATTCTTATAAAAAGCATCTGGAAAGGATTTTTGTTTATACAATGATGTTATTTTTTTGAAGAAACTTGAAATAAAAATAAAAACATCTTTTCGAGTTTTTGCATGTGCAAAGTTATTCAAAATTATCAAAGTGGTTTAACTTACGTTTGATATTTATATTATATATTTATACTTAAATAAAGCACACAAATAAGGTATTTTATTAGTCGAATTCTTATCTGCGATAGAACATCGTGTGTATGTTTTGGTGCAACTCAGTAATCTTTTTAATATAACTAGTAAATATTTTGATAATGCAGTCTACCATCAGAATGTTTAAACAATATAAGTACATTATCTAATATACGTACATATATGATGAAGGTGCTGTGTAATTTTGGCTAACAAATTGATTTCTGCTTTTTCTTGTTACATATTTCAAGTTGTGGAAATTTTGCAATAAAATAGGATGTAAAATAGCAAAAAAAATTGTTTTGTAGTCGCAACCAAAAATTCGCCCCTTTTCAGATACAGTGGATTTCATTTATTACGACCTTGGTTGTAACGACCATTTTGCTATAGCGACGTTAAATCTAAGTCCCTTGAATTTAAAGCATACATTAGTACAAAACTGATGTGACTATAGCGATTTCGGATGTAACGCCGAGTTCGGGTGTAGCTACTGTTTTTTAATGAATCGTTTGTAACAAATCCCTAGTAAACTCATGCAGATATAGCGACCGGAGTAGGACGAAAAAAACAAAAAAGTCTTTCTTATCTTTTGATTACATCCACACAGATGGTCAGCAAGTGTAGTAACCTTTACCGTTTGTTTATAGATATTAGCCAGGTAGATAGATAAGCGTATACATTAAAATGGTTCAGTTTCAAAGTAATATTCTGAGTAGCAACTGTGTTTAGTAAACTTTTGAATAAGTATGACACCAAGATGCATATTCACTGTCAAAAAAAAAAGGCGGAAATCAAATCAAAATTGAAAAATGGTGAAAACCATACATACGTATCTGTATCTCTGTACGTTTGCCTGTAACGACTTCCGTATATAACGACGAAATTATAGTGGTCCCTTCGTCGTCGTTATACCCGGAATCCACTGTATTTAGTTGTTGATCAGAGGGTAGATGTAAGATCCAAAAGAAACTGTCAAGACAAAAACTTTTTTATTTCGCAACCCTTCGTGTTTTATTAACACTTCATCAGACGCTCCATAAATGAGATATAAAATGTTTTAAACTTCTATCACATCCCCTTTAATAAATAATTTGTAATTTTATAACGTAATTTTCCTCTTACTATTGTTATTGTTTGACTAAATTGATGAAAGAAAATTGATATTAATATGTTCGTAATTTGCATGAATGAGATCCGACAAAGATACAATATTTTTTATAACTATGTCTAGAACATTTATTTTATGGTATGTTTTTGATAGTTAATTTATTGTAATTTGTATACTTATATATTATTTTAATATTTTGTATCTCATTTGTAGAGCACCTGTTGAAGGGTTAATAATACACGAAACGCTGCTAATGAAAGTCCTTCAACATGTTGTCAGATATTTATTAACATAATGTAACGAAAAATGTTATACATATTTATTTTCCGCTTAAAAGTCAATACATACTTTAAATTACATGGATTTTGTTAAAAATTTGTCCAGGTACATTCATCAATTTGTTACTATTAGTTTATAATAAATTGTAAGTTCCAAATGTGGAAGGCACTCTGAAGGAATGTTAATCCTACAAACATCTGCTTTTAACAGTATTTTAACATTTTCTTTGTATCTAATGGATTTTACTTAAATTGTGGCGAAAATAGTAATCAAATTACTACAGTACCACTTTCGAAAAGAAAGAATACTGTACAGTTACGCTAACGTACCTTTCGTTAGCAGTCATCTCATCACTGTAAAATTATGTAATTTTATTGAAATATAAATATTTACACAACTGGATACCAGTCAAGTATTTCGAGCAGGAAAATACCAACTTCAATCATTATTCATTATTCGTGGAAGGTAACCGTTTTAAAACCAATGTATTGCGTAAATCTAAGCAAACATTGAAAGAAGCTCATATTATATTTTCAACGAAACCATAAATTTTGGATTCACCATTAGTATTCGTGAATAGTTCGAGACTACTTTTCGGTTGTTAATTTCAAGGGAACTGAAATAAGTACATTCCATAATGATTCGTTGAAAAATGAGTAAAGTTGTTAACGAATTGAATAGTTTCTGCTGATACATGTTTCAATATTTCACACTTTTCTTATTATTAAATGTATTTCAGTCATTAAAGTCATTAATCTTTTCTTTTTTCTTTATTTAACTTTTTTGTGAATTTAAAAATGTTATTTTTTTACTGAAATTGATATTTTTGAATAAAAGGAAAAGGTTATACTTTATATTTAAATACACAAATAGTCTTTAATATTTACTTCTTATTCTGTTAATTTTGGTAATTTGGTATGTAAGGGGTGTGGAAATAAGCTAATATAAAATTAGAACTAAGTGTTGCCGATTTTCCATATTTAGGAAGTCAGACAACTCAGGATTGAAAAAGCGCTAGAGATATAAAACAAAGGACAGTGGTCGTTGCGGAAAATATCGTGGAAAGAAAAGTCAGAAAATGAGGAAGTATTAGGAACAGTAGGAGAACAGGAGATCATCATAAGATATAAGCGAAATAGGTTGACGGATATAACGACGATATTCGTCGCCGTTATACCAGAAATCCACTGGATTTGTTATATAGAATAACTAAAACAGCATTATTTGTGAAAAAGTGAAACTCTTTTTGGATTCTCATTTTGCTGAAGTTTTTTAATACAAAAATACAATTTATGTAGATGCTCTATATGCGGGTGTTAAATTAATTTTCATTCGGATAACTCTTTTAGCGTTTTTTTAATCCCCTAATTTCATAACATTAAAATTTATACAGAGTTCCACTTAACCCTCTCTCTTTTGTTTTTATAGAGAGTAAATCAATAGAAATTAATAGAATTGAATTCTAATTAGTAAACATGCCTACCGTTAGGTTTTCAATGCGTAAACAATAACAACTAATAATTAGTAATAAATTATTTGTTCGAATGGATTTCCTAATAATCTTTATAATCAGTGTGAGCGTATAATATGTGCATAAACTCAGGTCGATTACGTTTCATCTCTTATTGCTTCAGATAACCAAGTAACAAGCAGGGTCGATTCTTATTACCGCTGATTTGGTCTCAAAATCTCGTTCTACGTTGTGCGCATCTGTGTACGGACTTCAAATTAGTATTATATACTAAAAAATACTTTTTAATTAAAAAAAACCATATAAAGAATATAATACGAACCTTTTCTAAAGAAAAATATATTTATGAAATGTGGACCAACTTGTATAGACTGCGTATGTGTCTAGTATACAGTAAAAGTTCTTTATTCGCGGGGTATACGTTCCATAAATATGCCGCGAATACAGAAACCGTGGGTATGGAATGGCAATAGGTATAGAATCATAGGGGATACGTTCTAAGGTTCTGAAATAAAACCAATATGTATCAAAATAAAATTAATGTATTGATAAATTCGCAATTAAAATTAATCCTTATAATCAGCTTTAGGCAAGAGTTTGAATAATTTAGTGATTTTATCTTGTTTTGAATTTTCAAATTAGTCCACTCGGTTACATCTTTTATAAAAACTGCCTAGGCACATATCAACAGTACATAGTCAAAAGATGCATTAAGGGGATTCAGTAGTACACGTGCCGTAAAGTAAAAACATGCTTATCGGTTGTAGAAATCATGAATTTTTAGAACAGAGGTTTGAAATTGTGTAGCAAAAGAGATAAAGCTTTGTCCTAAAGCCTGTCGGAGACTATTTTTTAATTTCTTAATTTCTATTGAAAATACGTGTCCTTCAAGAAGCATCAACTTTAAGCACTTGTAAAAGCTATTAATGACCACATTATCGAAAACTAAAAACGTGCCGAGTTAGTGTGAACCTTTGTCTGTTACCATGCAGAGATCAGATATTTATCTCGCAACGTTAAATCACAAGAATAGAAACCCATATTTTCGGAAAAATTCACAGTAAGAACTATTGCGGTCAATCCCCTTAATAAATGACACCGAATGCTTTTCTGTTTACCGATTGTATTTGCGAATAATGAAATTTTTAGCGGCGAATACAGGAAGTGGATTGCAATTTTTTCACACGCGAATAATGAAAACGCGAATAAGGAAACCGTGCATAAGGAACTTTTACTGTACATATAATACAAAAATTTCTTAAACTTTTAATTCTGACATAATACAAGCATTACNATAAATTAAATAATATATAATTAGAAAAATTTTTAATAAAAATGCATCTATCTACTGAATATTTAGTGTGCATTTATCTAGGATTAACCGAATTATTTATTATTATTATATCGTCAAGGGCAATTGATCAGTACATTTTCTAAGTACTTAGATTAAAAAGCATAATTAGATAAATAATGCGTACGTAATGATATCAAGTGTTTATTTTAACAAAATCCTTTTTTTGTTCGATTGAAATACATGTGTAAAAATTATTTACCTACTTTAACACAAGTATTTATATACATCTTCATTAAGGGATACCAAGAACATTACAAATACAATTCATAATTTTAAAGAACAAGGATATTTTACAAACGATTCTTATTTATAATAGACTTCAAGCACAGCAAACAACTGTTACATGCTATTCGAAGCTTCTTACTTCAAAATTTTTCCACTGGATTTCCAAAGCAGTCAGTGCATGATGGTGTAGAAATTAGACTTCTCTTAGTTCTTCTTTTTGCTTCTGTGTGGGAAGCTTCTTGGTTGCTATCAGCTATATTTTCACTTTCATTTTTCTTCTCTTTTGTTTGAATATCTTCTAATGAAATATCACTGTTAGATTTGCTCATTTTCGTCGTAGCTTTTATTTCTGCCTTTTGTAAAGTCTGAGCTCTATGAAGTAACTAGTAAAATAAGCAAGGTAGGTAGGGCATTTTCTTATCAATTAAGTTGATAAGTGTACGAATAATGACAATCCATAAACGATTTAAAACATTATTGTGACTGACAAATCATAAAACAGATATTGCAGATATTTTTTTGTCTGTAAACTGAACATAAATCGTAAGTGTATATACATAATATATATATAT